CCCATTGGGTCTGCTGAGTTTCTAGGCTTACAATTTACCACCTCAAGGGCTTTGATGTGATGTGAGTTTGAATTCTGACACTGTTTGCCAGCTGTGTGATTTTGGGTTATCTACTGATTCCCCAAACACCCAAATGTTCATGTACACATGGAAAGCTATGGCATGGGCAGAGTCCAGGGCTAGGCAGGAATGGTCGCACTTGTGGTGCTTGAAAGAAAGAGAAAACTATTCACAGCCTCTTTCTCCTGCACTGGTCTGCAGGGTACCCTGAGCGCAAGGGCCCAGTGCAGGCAAGCTGGGCCTTACCTCTGAGTCTGAGTCAGAGGAGCTGGAGCTGGAGGAGCTGGAAGAGTCGCTGGAGCTGTCGGAAGCGATGCCTGTGGACTCCTGGAGGTCAACCGCATCTGCCAGGACTGCCAGCTCAGGGTGCTCCTGCTTCAAGATCCTGAGAGGCAAGAGACACCCTTCTTAGTGCTGTCACAGGTGGCAACGCCCACACACAGTAACTCCAAGTGGAGTCCTGCATCACTTAGAAATACCTAGAAACACCCAGGGATTGGCAGACGGCTGCTGTACAACGGCAAGGAAGCACAGCCCCGGCAGGGCGCAGACCCTCATAGACTACCCACATTTTTCTAAAAGAAAATGACATTCTAGTGCCACGCGATCCATCACTACCCACAGGATGAGGCAGCTGGGCCACCACAGTAGGGGTAGCACCCCCCAAGCTTGCCTTGGTTCTTCCCTTGGGAGAAACAGCTCCTCTTCTACTTTTATTTTTTCCTGAAACTTTCTTAGCTAGTTCTTAGTTTTTAGACCTCTCCTTTCCACAGCACAGCCCTAATGAGTCAGGTTTGGTTAGACTCTACTAGTCAGAGCAGAAACAATTAGGATTGTAAGAAATTAGGTGTCAAACAAGAGAGACCACCCCCCGCACTTGAAAGATGAGCTGAACGGGCATCAAGAGCAGCCGCCCGCCACAAAAGACCTGCTGTACATAAGGCCTTGGAGTGACAGGGCCACAGCACTCTGCGTCCTGCAGGGCAGAGGAGGTGGGCCTCAAGTGCTGAGTCAGGGGAACAGAAGCCACCACCCTTGCTGGCCCTCTCAGCAGGGAGGAGCACTGAACGAGCCAGAATCCCTCTCTTACCCCGAGAGCTGGTCCCTCCAGGTCAGGGTTGGGACACAGTGGCACGGGGTGGCTGGGGGTGGCTTGCACTGCCGCTGCCCGTGCTGTATCTGTTCTGTGGATAAACAGAGGAGCTAAGTCTCCAGGGCAGTCACCTCACTCATAAGAACTGAAGGCAGTAAGTTCAAATGGGAATAATATGTCTGGGTAAGAAAAAGAAATAACCAAAATAAAACCTAAACAAAAGGGATTCTTTTGCTAGTGCTAGCCTTGAAAACCAAACAAAAACAAAACAAAAAAACAAAGCAAAACAAGAAACGATCCCAATCGTGAGCATGTTTTGACGGAGTGGCTTTGATAGAACATGCAGAGCCTCACCCTGCCACCTGGAGGCTGGCGAGCGTCCTGAGCACCAGCCCTGACCTTGGTCCCTCTCTCTGCTCCCTGTCAGGTGTGCAGCCCCAGCTCTGCCCGGGCCTCTCTAAAGTCAGCACATGGTACTGCAGCTGTGGACTCTTGCCATTTTACCTCTGGGGTAGCAATTAGAACAAAGCAAAATAAGAATCAAAAAGGTTCTCACCTATACCATTTCCTTGATAACTTTGGCCTCCCTCTTACCGTCTTGTGCCACACAACAGGGAAGTTGGTGCTGCTGGCAAAATTCTGGGTGATAGCAATGGTGGTGTCAAGATTGAGAACAACATGCCACCAGCCTCCTGAAATCCAACAAATAAACAGTTCAACAGGGTTTGGTCTTACACACAAATACCCTGTGACACCTACTCCAGAAATCGGGCCTTCTTATCCATAAGGGACAGCTCAGACACGACACAGTGTAGTAAACTGCTCCTGACCCAGGGATAAGTGTAAATAAAATTTTACTGGAACACAGCTACACTTGACCTGTTTTGAACATTTATATTTTCCAAAGAGCAGAGTCGAGTGATTGTGAGAGACTGTGTGGCTCACAGGGTCTAAAATATTCACTCTCTGACCATTTATGAAAAAAGTTTATTGACCCCTGGTAATCCAAAGCTGTAGCCTAAAGGTGGAAAGTTCTTCAACTTCTAGGAAAAGAACACCCACCTCAAATACTTTTACTCTTATAAGCTTCACCTATCAAAGTGTGGTTGTCTGATGTGGGATTTCCTAACTCAACCCAGCCTATTTACTAGCCCTGGGTTAGATCTCTGGCACCAAAACAAAACAAAAATAACAAACAACTTAGACATGGGCACAAACTGCTACCCAACTCAAAGATACTAGGTAACCTCTAGTTACACAGCATATGGGTAAGAGCTCCTTTTGTACTTGAGATTCAGTTACCACACAGGTCAGTTCATGAATCTGTGAAGGTGCAAAAGAACTTTCTGGATTCATTGTGTGTGTGTGTGTGTATGTGTATGTATATATATATATATGTATATATACCCAAAGTGAGTAGGCAATGTGAAATATAGAAAATTATTTTAGCAGGAAAAAAAAATGAGTAGACAAATTACTGCAATCAAAAAATGTACTCGGGGGCTGGGATTATAGCTCAGTGTAGAGTATTTGCCTAGCACATGCAAGGACCTGGGTTCGATCCTCAGCACCATATAAAAATAAATAAAGGTATTGTGTCCAACTACAACTAAAAAATAAGTATTCTAAAAAAAATATGTACTTTGGGCCTCGTGTGGTGGTGCACACGTGTAATCCCAGTGATTCAAGAAGCTAAGGCAGGAGATTGCAAATTCTAGGGCAACCTGGGCAACTTAGTGAGAGAGACCCCGTCTCAAAATTTAAAATAAATAAATAAATAAACAAACAAAAAATGCTGGGGATGGAGCTCAGTGGTAGAGCTTCCTTTAGGTTTGAGACCCAGTACTGCAAATGCCTGTCACAACACCCCCAAAACCAGAGAATGTGTTTTCTTCCAGCTCATCTATACCTGGTACAAAGACAGTCTCTCCTGGTTTTTGTAAGATTTCCAGAGGTTTGAATTCAGGTGGCCAGGTTGAAAGCTGTGTTCGGGGATAAATAACATTAAACCAGGTAATTGCTTCGTCTTGCTGGTTGCCTCCTTCTTCTCGGGTCACCTTGATGAGTTCTCGGGGAGTACTTGTTGGGAACAGACACCAGCGCTTGTGGCCCTGAACCAAGGCATTCCAGGCACTGGTTCCCAGAGGGTCAATGTGAATCCCAGTTCCAGAACGCGGTGGCCCCATCACAAACCACCTATAGGATAGAAACACCCAAGACAGGAAAGGTGACTTAATTATGCATACAGGACACAGAAGAAAGTTTTTACCATATATTATGCACATGGTTCTTTCTTCATTTCTGAGACTGTACGCATTCTGATACATAGAAATATTAAGTGAACTGTGTGAGGACTGATATCTCACAGAAAAAAGAAAAAAATTACTGATATAGTTTATTGCTAAACTGTAATTATTAAAACTTCCCTAAGACATCAGTGGTTCAGCTTTACTTGCACATTTAAGTCTCCTGGGGAGTTTTAGGACTGACTAGCCAATAGACCCTAGACTAGTTAAATCCCAATCTCCTCCTAGTGGGTCCCTAAATGACTTAATGTTCAGCCAAGAGAGAGCCGCTCACTCACTTTTTCAGAAGAAGGTCAGCACACTGAACTCTGCTACCCAAGGCTGGTGTGGATGAGATTGGAACCACTGAGCTACGGAATACTTTACCTGTAGGGCGGCCTGCGCTTCTCTCCTGCATACTGGAAAAGGTCATCAGTGAAAAACTTGGGCACCTTATAGTCTTCCAAAAGTTTTCTTCTTTTGGGGTGTTCACCATAGCTGCTGTCAAAGATGTAGAGGGGGCTGTCATCCCGGGTGCTCTCCATGTACTCGATGTAGTACTTCATCTTCATCTTGACCGAGTAGCCATCATTATCCTCGCCACACTTGAACTTCTGGTTCCGGTACTTCCTCTTCAGGCGCTCCAGAGTCCATTTCTCCTGCGCAGACCAGCCCTCTTGGGCATTCAGCAGAACCACGGGCTTGTAAGGTCTTTCGTACCGCTCGACAAATTCTTCCACCGACAGCTGTAAAGCGTCCGCCCTTTCCACGTTATCCTGAGGGAACCAGAAAAGGCCTGTCCAGTTAGAAAATGAGCCCGGAGGCAGATAAGGGTGTCCCCCAGGACCAACCAGCAATGACAGACATGGGCGACCTCCGACACAGGCTCCAGAGGGGGCCACGTGCTGGGCGCACCTCGCACCCAGAGCCGCCGCCGCCGGAGGCCCGCCCCGCTCCCGCAGGCCCACGCCCGGCCCGCGACCCCGGGCCCGCTCACCGCCACGGCCGCGGGGCTCAGCGGGAAGCTCTCGTAGTAGTTGTGCCGCGTCCAGTCCAGCGAGTCCTTGAGCTCCGGCCGCGCACTACGCTTGGCCTCGCGGATGCGCTTCTTGCTCTTGTGGTTCATCCTGCGAGGTCACCAGCTGGTTCCGCGACGACCTCGGCGCAGCTCGCTTCCTGCCGCTAATGCGCCCCTCCCAGGCCCGGGCGGCGGCACCGAGACGCCCTTCGCTCCGGCCCGGCGCCTTTAAAGTCGCCTTCCAGAAAATTCACTCCTCCCGAGCCGCGGGTTGGGCGTGCGGCGGCCGTCCTCCCCGCCCCGCCGCCCGTCGCGGTTCGCCATTGGCCTCGGCGCCTCCCGGGTACGCCCTCACACGCGCCGGGCGGGCGCCATGTTGGTAAGGTCGCGTCGGCCACCGCCCCGCCCCGCTTCCGGCGAGCTGTCACTTCCGGCCGTGCGTGGCCTCCCCACCACCAGCTTCCGGCCGGGACCCTGCCCATGCGCCTCTCTTGAATCTTGCCCAGCTGGCTTCCGGCTTTCTCTGTGCTTCTGACTCCTGCGACTCCCCCTCTACCCCCACGCKAGCTCGGCCTTCCCCCTCTTGCGGCCGGGAGGGACGGCGGAAGGCCGCGTAGTCCCTGGCGCCCGGGAAGCAGCCCCTGACGGCCTGGCGGCCCCGCGCCCTCCGCCGACCCCCGCGTGCCCGCGGCCTGCCGATTCTCCTTTGGGCGCGCGCGGTCTTCCAGGACATGTGGCCCGTGCCCAGCGCTTCCGCTTCTCGGAGGAGCGGGGCCCGGGAGCCCACGGGCCCGAGCTGGAGGTCCGCGTCCCGCAGGTGTGTGCAGCCGAGGCGCCGCGGCTTTGGGTTGGCTCCCGAGCAGGAGCAGCCCGTCTGTCTGCAGTGAGGCCTTCGGGAACCGTGATAACAAGGGGGCTTCTCCGAACAGAGCGTTTTCTGCCAGCAGAGTGGCTCTCGACTCCTAACTTTAATCTTCATCTTGTTGAAAGACTTCCCTTTTCTTTCTTTTTYCTTTTTCTTAGTGGTGATACTGGGTTTGAACCCAGGGGCGCTCTACCACCGAGCTACATCCCCAGCCCTTTTTATTTTAAGGCAATCTTTAAATCTGGCCTCAAACTTGAGATCCTCCAGCATTAGCCTCCAGGGTTGCTGGGATTCTAAGCGTGGCCACCAGGCCTGACTAAAAGGCTTCAATTTTCTAACACATTTAGYGCTGACACTCTTAGGCCATGGCCTCAAACATGCTAGACAAGCGCTCTGCCACTGAGCTGCACCCCTAGTCGTAGATTTTTCACTTTTGTTTACGTCTGGGAACAGGTATTCCCGCCCTCATTGTCCAAATAAATGGGTGTATTCTTGCTTCTTTCTTTGAGCTCATGGCTGCCACACACTCTGAATAACTTTTGAGCATTTTCACGTTGTAGTTTCATTTGATGTTAATGGCAGCCTGTGAGGTAGGTATTAGAATCCGCACATTAGAGGAAGGAACAGCTTGAGAAGTTAAGACTAGAGTTGAACGAACCAGTTTCTGGTAATATCCAATCGGATTCACATTTTAAAAACTTCCTAAATTTAGAACCCGAACTTGCACAACTATCTTCTGCTCAGATGTCTTTCGCTGAATCTTTATTTTCCTTCTGGGTAAAATTTACAGGTCAGGCCCCTATTCATGTTGTACCCCTATATTTAGGGCCTAAGATATTTTAGGCACTAATGTTTTTTATTGGATCGAGTGATGAAGATTTTGTCTGTGGACTGATTTTAGGTCTTTAGCTTTTTTTCTACCACCCCACCAGGGGGCACCCTTTGCTCTTTAGACAGAAGAGAAGTTTTGCTGCAACATTGGGTACTTTGTGCCTTTCATCTCACCCAATTGAGATGGTATTTTGAAGTTGAGAAAACTGAAGCACTGACCAGTTGGAATTAACCTGTGTCACACTACTTGTTAAATTACGAATCTGTAATGTCTTTGAACTGAGGAAGGCTCATTCCCTTTCAACCCCCGATTCAGCTCCATTTTTAACCTTTTCTAGGATGTCTCCCTAGGGCCATACTACTTGCCATCAGCAGATTGTTATGTTGTGCTGAAAATCCCAGTATCTTGCTGCATTTAGAATAAATTCTCAACTTATGAGGCCCATGAATCAGGTCTCTGTCTCTCTGACTTGCACTGCACAATGCCTCCAGGTCCCATGCCTGTCCTTCCAGGGCTGTGCAGTCCAGCCAGAAGCCTTGCCTACTTCAGGACCTTTTCCYGAGTCATCTTGCCTCCTTATCATAGTAGCCATTTTGTGGTCTCACCTGTGTCCACATTGCTCCCACATGACTGTTTTGCCGTTTGTAGCGTTTAGCACTAACTTGTAATATTTGATTTGCTTATTTGGCCATCTCCTTCTAATAAATAGGGTGTACACATTGCACAAGAGCTATATGCCCAGAAGGGCACTGTTGAAATGCTGTGGAAGGAACGAATGCCTCAAGTGTTTATCAAAGGGTTAAAGTTTTATAACCAAAGTTGGGCACTAGTGAACTGTCATTTTTGTAATAGATGCCAGTGCCTGACAGTAATTTCTGTATAAATATTCCAACTTCCAGCAGATGCTTTTATTGACATTCCAAAATATTTTGTTTTCCCCCTTCAGATGTTTCTATTGAATTGACTATTACACTTCTAAAGTTCTGAAATAGTTAGACGATAGAAAGACATTTTTTTTTTTTAGGCTCCTGCTTGAAACCAACAGTTTCAACAAACTGCTGGCCTCGATTCAGGACCAATCAAAATATTCTTTTCAGGTCCTGCATCTCCAATACGGAATGTACGTTTGGCCCTGTGCTGTAGTTCTGGCCCAGTACCTATGGTTTCACAGAAGATCTCTGCCGGGGAAGGCTGTCTTAGAGGTACAATGTCTCCCAAAATGCTGGGTTCAGATTGAAGTTTACATACTTGATATTAGCCCGTTAAACAAAATCAGGTGGTACTTATAATTTCTTGGTATTATTCTTTAAAGTGCTTTGCCACCCAGCTAGAAAATCCCTTTTAGTT